AATGTGTATGTCATAGTATTCATGAGTGTGTATGTGTATGTCATATATTCATGAGTGTGTATGTGTATGTCATATATTCATGAGTGTGTATGTGTATGTCATATATTCATGAGTGTGTATGAATATGTATGTGTATGTCATATATTCATGAGTATGTATGAGTGTGTATGTGTATGTCATATATTCATGAGTGTATATGAGTTTGTGTGTGGATGTCATATATTCATGAGTGTGTATGAGTGTGTATGTGTATATCATATATTCATGAGTGTGTATGAGTGTGTCTGTGTATGTCATATATTTATGAGTGTGTATGTGTATGTTATATATATATGAATGTGTATGTGATCATTTGATAAGTTTTACCCATCCCAACAGCCATGAGAGCTTTTCCATTGGCTGATATGACATCACAGTACATGGCCAACAAAACGGATATGCACCCTCTCGTAAGATTTATCCACTCGAGTATGTCTTATATATACACACATATGCATAAATATAAATACACCTATATGCATACGGAATCTGTGTTCGTGTATGTCTTATATATACACACATATGCATATATGCATACGGAATCTATGTTCGTGTATGTTTTATATGTACACACATATGCATGTATGCATATGTAATTTCTGTTAGTGTATGTCATATTTATACAGACAGAAGTATGTATGCATATGCAATCTCTGTTAGTGTATGTCCTATGTTTACATTCATATACATACATGCATATGTAATGTTTGTTACCATGCGTCTGATATATACATTCAAGTACATACATGCATATGGAATGTCTGTTGCTGTATATCTTTTATATACATTCATATACATACATGCAGATGGAATGTCTGTTGCTGTATATCTTATATATACATTCATATACGTACATGCACATGGAGCTGCAGGTGACGCTCATTGCTTTCATCTCAGCATGTGACTGTTTGTGTATTTATTTCTCAATGTACTGTTGTGCGCATTTGCCCACATGGCCCTACAAGCGATCTGAGCCCACGTCTCACTGTTATATTCAAAACCTCTGCCAAAATCATCACCTCTGCCAAACCCAAAAATCTCTGCCAAATACAAAACCCGATTTGATTGTGTAATGTTTCATCCCCATGCGGCACCCCCATCCACGGCCAGGCCGATGAGATCGAACAACTGCTGTGCAAAAAATTCATGCGCTTCCTGATGATGCGAGCGGAGAACTTTGTGGTGCTGCGACGAAAGCCGGTGGATGGCTATGACATCAGCTTCTTGCTGACCAACTTTCACACTGAGCAAATGTTCAAGCACAAGCTGGTCGACTTTATTATTGAGGTGTGTGGGCGCGAGAGGCACTCGGCTTGCTTATGGATACTCTCATGGTTACGTATATTCTCTTAGCTACGTATAATCTCTTGATACGTATAATATCATGGTTACGTATATTCTCTAGTTACGTATAATCTCTTGATACGTATAATCTCATGGTTACGTATATTCATGGTTACGTATATTCTCTTAGTTACGTATAATCTCTTGATGCGTTTAATCTCACGGTTACGTATATTCTCTTAGTTACGTATAATCTCTTGATACGTATAATCTCATGGTTACGTATATTCTTATGGTTACGTATATTCTCCTAGTTACGTATAATCTCTTGATACGTATAATCTCATGGTTACGTATATTCTTATGGTTCTTGATACGTATAATCTCATGGTTACGCATATTCTTATGGTTACGTATATTCTCTTAGTTACGTATAATCTCTTGATACGTATAATCTCATTCTGCATGGGAATGCATATACGTACGTATTTATGTATGTGTATACGGGAACACGATTTAACCCCATTTGCAATTCCGCCTGTACGACATTGGCCTCCATTGCACGGCAGCCGTTTGTGAAACGATTGGCTCAAACGTTGTCATCTGACTAAACCCTAAACCCTAAATCCTAAAACCCTCATATCGCTCTCACAGTTTATGGAAGACATTGACAAAGAGATCAGTGAAATGAAGTTATCGCTCAACGCACGCGCGCGTATCGCCGCCGAGGAGTATCTGAAGATGTTCTAAAGATAAAATATGTATCAGTGCTATATTTAGCATCATGTCTCAGATGTTCGGTACTGCACCACAGGGTCATGTGCGTCCTTGCGGGAGGGCACCCCACGTGGGCTGTGTGTCCTTTCGCCTCACTAAATAACACCAATTAAAAATAATCAAAAAAACAAATGATACTCTATCGTCACCATTCCACGGGGTGAAACGGTGACCAAGGCATTGGAGTGACAGAACTTGTCCTGTTAATAGTAAGTGGTTGAGTGCAATACTTGGTTTTCATATTATATAATCAATTGTCGTCACCATTCCACGGGGTGAGACCGTGTCCAAGGCACTAACCGATTAGCAGTGTTAGTTGCGAGTCGGTTACTTTTAATTAGAGATGTGCTTAACTAACCCTGTCACGAGAAGAGATCGGTGGTGTCTAGCGCTGGGTCGTCTGTGTCCCCAGGGACGTTGCGCTTGTTGATGCTGGCCAGATATTCGCTGGGCGTTAAGTTCAGAATGCTCGTGTTCTTCTTGAACAGATCTCCAACGTTTTTCTGCCGCGGGTGGGTAGAGAAAGAAATGTGAGCAAAACAGAAACTACCTACAAGATCCCGTGAAATGTGAAGGAATGTTAAGGAATGTTAAGGAATGTGAGGAGTGCGAAGCTTCGAAAACCTTAAAGGTGTACTATAGAGCCATGCAGACGAATGCCACGGCGTGTAAAGTGAATTGTCATGAGCTGAAAGCAATTGCAATCCATGCACCAACAATTGCAATCCTAAAACTAACAATTGCAATCCATGCATCAACAATTGCAATCCATGCACCAACAATTGCAATCCTAAAACCAACACGAGACGGTCACTGGGCCACAGCGCACAGGCGTAGTAGCACAAGTCAACGAAAACTGAACAAACTCAACCCGAACGCATAAGCCCTAAACACTAAAACCCCTAATGGTCGAGTAATCAATGCGATGAGATAGTTGGTGATATGGCCACTAAGCGCAACTCCCACTATGGACGCTATGGGCGTACGACCCTTTCTCAGAAGTTTAGAGTCTGCATATGTACATAGGTAGAATGATACATGCACACCATCAATCACTCACAAGTAGTGCAGTGCACCACTCACAAGGAACACAATATATAACTAGAAAGTCCCGAACTCAATGCGTGTAACGGTAAGAGACGCTCATGTGAATGATGTTTAATATGACAACACACTCGTTTGCCATTCTGAATGCACATGCCATCATCCGCTTAAGACCTCTTCACTCCAACAGTTGGGAGTGGGACATATGTTGTAACACGTGCCACACGCTGCAGAAGTCGTTCAATACACACAGCAAAAAGGTGTCCAATACACAGCAATACACAAAGTAATACACAAAGTAATAGACAAAGTAATACACAAAGTAATACACAAAGTAATATGTGGTAGGTAATGTGTTAGGTAATGTGTAAGGTAATGTAGTAGGTAATGTGGTAGGTACTCTATGGACGGGCTACTACATGCACAGCGAATATAATGCATAGCTGTGTTCATGGTAGCAGAGTTTTAGGGTTGTCGGGTTATAGGCCCTTGGGTTTGTTGGCATTTACGACCATGCTCATCCACTGCCAGACGATTCCACCGGCCACTGTACGTGTCCATAGAGACTACGCTGTAGCAAAACATCAGGTTATAGCGATAACCACAGAACATCACACGCCGTTGTAGGGTTTTAGGGTTTTAGGGTTTAGGCACGCCGTGTGCATCTCAGTTGCTGATAGTGTACGTTCTCATGTTGCATGTTTTAGGGTTAAATTTGCAAACACTGAGGAAGACACTTACCCCAATTTCTTTCCCTAACAGTTTCTGTATCCCGGACGTTTGGTCTCTGTCGTTGGAGTGTGTTGTGAATGGCATAAATGAGTACCAGAAGCAGCGGATATAAAATAAAACATGACTTGATATGTAGATATGGATAAAACGTTACCTGATAGGTTGATATAAATAAAAAATTATCTGATAGGCAGGCAAAAAAAAAGACATTACCTGATAGATGGGTTTACATAAAACATGATCGGATAGGCAGATATAAATTAAACATCACCTGATAGGCGGATATAAATAGAATACTACATGATAGGAGGATATAAATAAAACATTACCTAATAGGACAGAACCAAACATATGCAAGCACCAAGTTTTCACACACTCATAGACCAACAAACATAAAGCGACACCAGCGTTCGCAGCTGCAGTACCAGTGCACATGGTTACATAACATAGCAATCTACCCGGACAAATAGTCATGATACTAATACTACCTAATAGTAATACACTTATTTAACATGATATCAATATCAACTAATAGTAATACATCTATGGCAGGATCCCTGTCAAGACAGTCTCGTTAAAGAACTTCGTTAACTTGCACAGCCTGCGATATCGATACAGGAAGACTGCGCATCAATACTAATTTACTCATGCAGCAACACACGCACAACAATGACACTACAACCACTCCCCCCTCTCCCCAGGGTCTCCGGGTTTAGGGTTACAGGGTTTTAGGGTTTAGGGCTAGAATTTAGGGTCTAACATTTCACCTGCACCCAGCCACCCACACACCCACCCCCCAGACACACACACACACAAAGGCACCCACCCACCCACAAACACCCATCCACACACACACACACACATACATACAAACACACACACACACGCACCCACAAACACACACACACACACACAACACACACACACACTCAC